AGTCATATCCGCATTGAGATGTCGTGTAAGAATGGCTGGGGCCATACTCTTGGAATATAGATCCATCATAGCAATAGGAATTCGAATAGATCGGATACGGATAGGGCCGCCTTCCATATGAGTGCATCTTCACTTCGTATTTGTCGGGGTATCCATGAGAGGAGCATCCGGCATAACCGCATGTGTCCATCGGAGCTCCTCAAGAAAAACACATCGCACAAGAAAAACAAACAACCAAGGCACACGAGAACAAGAAATATATATAAAGTTTATTATTTTTTTTTTGTTACGATTTTCGCAAAAAAAATATATAAAAAATAAGAGAAATAGAAAATAACAAAATCAAGAGAAACACTAAAATTAAGCAATTATCACATAATATATTTTTACAATTAATAAAAATATTATTTTTTTATATTTTTTATTATTTATATATATATATATTTTTTTTTTTCTTAATAATTTTTTTTACTAATTAAAACAAATAAAAATAAGTGAGCTAAAAACTAAAAGAAAAAAAAATTACAATTTATATATTAAAAAAATAAGAGAAATCGAGAGAACTACAAAAATTAAGAAAAATCACAAAAATGAGAGAAATAAAAAAAATAAGACAATTAAATATCTAACTAGACATCCTATTACCTTCCTCGGCAACGGCGCCAATTTTGTTCGAGAGAGTTTTGTGGGTATTTGGTGACCGAGTTACCCGACCTCAGGTCGATCTCAAGGAAGGTCGTTCGGAGCTTTGTTTTTTATTTAATTGTCGAAATATAAAAATGAGAAAATAAACCTAAACATTCTACTCTATTTTGATGTGGTTTTATATTTAACTAAAATTCTTAATTTAATTTAACAAACATAAAATTAAAAGAACAATAAATAAACAACAGTAAAATAATAAAAATGGTAAATGGGTAAAAAGAATAAAGATGAGGAAAGTATCAGGGAATCAGGAAATAATTGTATCAATTTTAATGATAACTTCGAATTGTTAATCATTCGGTTAAATGATTCGATAAACACACTAATTTAGAGGTTCATATTCCATTCAGTTACGAGTAAGAATATAAACATAAATCAATGTATTCGCGTACCACCTAACATATAAGCAATACAGTTACGTGTAAACTTATTTATTTCGAGCCGTGATCAATCAACTTCGCCATTTTCGGGTTAAAAGTTGATTAAATAGATTTAAAAGAATGTTTAGTTCTACTTAAATCATAAAAATAAATATAACTCGAAATAATAGGAACAATCAACAATTCGTCATCATCATCGAACCGACACAATCATTTCCCTATCCCTAACGAAGGGTTTAGTTCGTCATGATTTTATTGACACAAATAATAAGAATAATCCAAGCTATCGTTTTACTCATAAAAACTTTCGAACGATAACTTACGATTACGATTAAAACTTGACGTCAATATATCACTTATAACTTTTAGAGAAATGAAAATAAACAACTTACAAGATTAAAACCAAGCTTGCATGCAAAGATCAAACTTGAAGAATATCAAGAACACTAAGAACACTCTTGGAAATATTTACATAGAAAAGAGAAGAAAAGTGAAGTTGTGAAATAAGTGAAAGAGAAGAGAGTATTTATAGGAAAAAAAATAGAAAACTTGTAATATAAGAAAAGAAAAATGTGGAAAAGATGATAGGAAAAATGAGAAAGAAGATGGGAAAAATTGGAAAGAAAAAATGTAAGAAAAGGTGAAAGATGATAGGAAATTTGAGAGAAAAGTTGGAATTTTCGGACAAAAACCGAAAGTGATTTTTCCGAGCGCATTCGCGCACGTCTCGGGCAGCTTTGCTTCTCGGGCTCGTTTTGGGCTCGTCCGAACTCGGAATTGAGTTCTATTTTTTTCTACGCGTCGCTAACGAACCCCTCTATTCAATAATGTATGCCAATACAAATTTCACCCAGAATACAATTATCTAAGGATTTTTAACTTCCAAGGTGTCGGCAACTCGCTCGATTTTACGCTTCGGTCCCGTACGAACTCATCCGAACTCAAAATCGAGTTCCGTTTTTTTCTGTGTGTAGCTAACGAGCTCCTCTTTCTATTAATGTGATCATGCCCAATAACTTTCCAAAATCTTGCTCTTCCGAGATTTTCGACCGTTTCTTTATTTTACAAATACTTGAAAATACAAGAAAAATATACAAAAATCCACACAAATACTTGAAAAATACAAGAAAAATATACAAAAATCCACACAAATACTTAAATATTACAAATCACTAAAAAACTAAAAACTACCCAAAATCCCACAAAATTACTAAAAATACATAAAAATAATAATAAAAAACATTAATAAAAACATAACAAAAATAACACTAACAAGAAGCTAGAATAGATCCTCCAATCCAGACACTGTACTTCCTCTCTGGTGGGGCCACCACCTTTATCTTCATACTGCTGGGAGCAAGAGCAGTTATCTCCTTGCTCATACGATCTGCGATCCCCGGGAACATGGTGGACCCCCCGCTAAGCACGACATTTCCATAAAGATCCTTATGGATATCCACGTCACACTTCATGATGGAATTATATGTCGTCTCGTGAATTCCAGAAGCTCCCATCCCGACCAACGACGGCTGGAAGAGGACCTCCGGGCAGCGGAACCTCTCGGCCCCTATAGTGATGACCTGCCCGTCGGGCAGCTCATAGCTCTTTTCAATGGCTGAGCTGTTTTTGGCAGTCTCGAGCTACATCTCGGACTATTTCCCGCTCGGCGGTGGTCGTGAACATATAGCCTCTCTCCGTCAGGATCTTCATGAGGAAGTCAGTGAGGTCACGGCCAGCAAGGTCCAGACGCAGGATGGCGTGTGGGAGGGCGTAGCCCTCATAAATTGGGACCGTGTGGCTCACTCCATCACCTGAGTCGAGAACTATACCTGTTCAGGGGAATAAGAATTATAAGGTTTTGTTTGGATAGAGGGACCACATTTTATACAATTGTCGGATTTACAATTGTTTAGTGTATGTATGTGTGTGACATATAAAGTAACTTTATGTAAAAACTGCAATTTGAAGAAATAAAGAATGGACCTAAAATGTCTAGGTTGCTGGATGATAATCCAACTCCACAAACATTACTAAAAGTTTGCGGAGATGTGTATTTGGAAGAATTTCAGATTAACGGTCATAAGCTTTTAGCAAAAATTTAGATTGGATAACGGATTTAACAATGAATATTATCTCATTGTTGCCAAACATTGAAATTTACATCTCTTTACAGATCTTTTGGAAATACATACCAGTTGTACGCCCACTGGCATACAGCGAAAGCACAGCCTGGATAGCAACATACATAGCCGGCACATTGAAGGTCTCGAACATGATCTGAGTCATTTTCTCTCTATTGGCCTTCGGGTTGAGAGGTGCCTCTGTGAGCAGAACCGGGTGCTCCTCTGGAGCCACACGAAGCTCATTGTAGAACGTATGGTGCCAGATTTTCTCCATGTCATCCCAGTTGCTGACTATACCATGCTCGATCGGGTACTTTAGTGTTAGAATACCTCTTTTGGATTGAGCCTCATCACCTACATAAGCATCCTTTTGCCCCATCCCAACCATCACGCCAGTATGCCGTGGACGACCAACTATACTTGGGAAAACCGCTCGTGGGGCATCATCACCAGCAAAACCAGCCTGTAGAAAGGAAAAACATAAGAGCAGATAGAATTAAGCAGCATTACCACAATTGATGTTCTACTTAAAACAGGACTAAATGTGAAGGATATATCATCAAAACAGTCACCTTGACCATTCCAGTTCCATTATCGACAACAAGTGGTTGAATATCTTCTCCCTCGGCCATCGTCACTTACGCTCCTTAAAACTAAGGTGGGAGTTGTTTATCCTGATTTAAAAAGAGTATACACAAAAACATGCCTCATTTTTCACACATGATAGAATAGCATACTTGGAGCAGCGTAAAATATTAAGCAAATCATCACCCCCGTGCTCATCAAGTACTCCACAGGTCAAATTTAACACACAAAACAAGATCTTAATGGCATTTCTTCACAGGTTCTAAAAATCAGTTGCATAAATGCTTTGCCCAGGCTATATGACTTAAAACAACATGTCAACAACACATTCACACCCCATTACTTTACTCTAAAACAGGGGCGAAGCTACTTGTACTGGCTGGGGTCATCCGACACCGACGCTTTGCGTTGAACCACTTGTACGTAACAAAATTTCACCGTGTAAGACCCCATTAAAAAAATAATAAGACCCCGACAGCAGGGCGGATCTATATAAGACACCGTGTAAGACCCCCCGACCCCCTCAACTAAAATTTCTGGCTTCGCCCCTGCTCTAAAACACACACTTCCATTCGTATCGGAGTTTTTCAGCCCATAACACGATTTTCTTCGCATCAATTTCACCACCACAACTATAATCAAAACCGATCGCCATTGTACGAACTAATCCAGTCAAAAAAAGAAAAAGAAACACAAAACTATTGAAGGGTCCGTAAAAACATAACAGTTTTCGTAATCGTCAGCACGCAGATCAACAGCTCAACAAGCAAACAAATGAGGCTATGCTACTAACTTTGAGGAAATGGCTTGAGGAGGGAGAGGCAAAAGGATGGCAGAGGGTGGATCTTAGAATTCATAACAAAAGTTTCTTCAAGAGGCTGCAAACTAGAGGTGGCTTTAATGTGAAGCTAGAAGCTCTTGCATATGATATTTTCAGCTTAATGGACAAGTTTCTTGATGTAGTAGTGTTGTCTGTTCATTAGATGGTTAAGTGTTTTTTCTTTGTGTGTTGGTGTTGGGTTTAGTTCTAGTATAGTGTTGTGTTTTTCTGTTAGTATTGTATCTATCTTTGTTGTTTTTGGCTAGTTTTTGTGTTTTTGTCGATGGGCCAATGAGGCTGTGTAGGGGAACCCTTGATGGTATCCTCCTGTTTCTCTTTTCGACCGTTTGGTTGGTCGGTTATGTACAAAACTTTGAGTTTATTAATAATATGATCATTTGAGGTGTGAAAAAAAG